TTCGTGTGCTTAAGACGCTGCTTTTTATGCAGCTAGCTTATTTGACAAAGTTAACAGTGTGATCACAAAAAGTTACTTCGAATTTTTTACTCTACATCTTTTTTACAGTTGATGTTTTTTCTCTGTTTCCATCAGGGATCACTCACAACTCATAGTCTTTTACATTTTAAAAGCTAAAAACCTGCGGTACTACTAGCAAGCTACTAACCAATCACGTCCTTTCTAAGTACTAGTTCCGATTCTTACCCAGAAGAGTAATTGTTGCATGCTTGCAGAAAAGGAACGTAGTGGATTGTTACGCGAAATTGAGCATCTGAAGTTGGCAAATGCAGAACTGAGTAGTGAACTGGATGCTTTTAAGCAGCACGGCAATGATAAAAGAAACGGATCGCCCGATGTCAAAAGAAAGGTAGGGGTTCTTCGGGAAAAATATGAAGCGTATATAACGCTGGCATGGAATGGTTTTTAAAGGTAGACAATGCCAGCGCCTAATACTAGACAGCAACTAGTGCAGATTTTTCTGCGGCTCATTTGTCATGCTATTATTAAAAAAAAAGGCGGTAGTAAATGTGTTACTGCATTTTGCACTACCAGTATGATTATTCAAGCACAAAACAGTGTGGAATTTTGCAGATGAATTTGCTTTAGATAAGTTCGCAGCTTCGTCCTCAAAGAGCTTTAGGCATGGGCCAGTTGGCTGTTTGTGTGTCCGTATGCATGTGGTGGACGGTAAATAAATTTTTCAGGTAAGCGAATTAATGGCCGAGAATGCCCGTCTGGCGGGTGAACTGTTAAGGGAACAGAGTGGACTGAGCGAAAGGGACAGCGATCAAAAGCAGGAAGTTAAAAAGCTTTTGGAGGAACGCGAAGCAGTTTGGAAAAGCAGGGAGCAGTCGTTACGACAGGAACAGGATCAGGCTCTAATGAAGCAGAAGCAAGAATTCGAACATCGCTTAAAACAGCACGATGAAAAATGGATGGTGAAATCTCGCGAGCAGTTCAGTGATCTAGAAGAAACTGTAAGCAGACTGACTATCGAAAATAAGAAGCTGACTGGCGAAAATGATAAATTGGGCGCTGTAGTAAAGGAAATGCAAGGAATAAGGGAACGTGATGAAAGGTTTACACGCATATTTTTTTTTTATTTTCATCGTTTTTCGAAAAGATTGGAGAAGGCGAGGCCTCTGTAGCTGTCCTTAGTACCAATGAAAAATAATAAGGAATATGGCGAGATCTTGATCACTGTAAGCATTGATGGGCATGAAAATTGCTTTTAACAAAGTTTTGCAAATGAAGGTGCACATGTTCTCGGCATGAATTTTGTGTGAACCTCCATAAAAATTCTCTTTAGAGAACGACCATATCTGTTTTACATTCTACTAATTCATGAGCACAGGCTAGCTGAGTTAGGTCAAAAATTTTCTTCCTTCTCATTTCTGGTTCAATGTGAGTCTAGTTAATTTATTCCAGTATCGGTGTCATGAATCATAAATTTTTAGACGCTTTTGATCTGATTCACAGCCAAATTTGACAGGAGCGCTCTTTTAGCTAGCTTCAGTAAATAAGCTCTTTTACTACAATTATTGACAGATTTGCAACCGGTGTTTTCCAAGTTTCCACTAATGCAGAGTTTATCAATTGTAAGTATGAAGCCTGGCGGTTTACTGGCTTGCCAAAGAGGAATGTCATTCATC